GATCGTGCTGCTCCTCAAACATGAGCCGTGTTCAGCAGAAGATCAAGAGTGTGTGGAGAAGGTGCTGCGCTCTTTCTCTGAGCGCGTTTATCAACACACCATGGTGCTCAGCACGCAAGAGACCAGTGACATCCTACAGAAAAAGAGCCCACAGAAACCAGTGGCATCCTACAGAACATCATTCAGAAATGTGCAAACAGACACTTCAGGCTTCAGAGAAGCAGCTCTCCTGATGATCTTCTGCAGGCGTTTGAGGACATCGTGCAAATGAATGATGGACGTCACCTGGTTTGTGCTGAAGCGTCACAGTATTTCACAATGGAGCAACAGACCACAGAGAGACGTGAGTGTGAGGATATTTGATGTTTCGTGTTATATATGAATATTTTGTAACTTTCTTCTTCTGTCAGTTTCAGAGGGTGTGAAGCTGAATCTGGCTGTGTGCGGGAGTGACGGGATGTTAAAATCCTCCGTATCAGAGCAGATCCTGCAGCAGACAGACAGAAGATCAGACGTGGAGCTTCATGGACCTGTGATCAGTGTAATAGAGCTTCCAGCTCTGTTCAACACTCGGCTCTCGGAGGAGGAAGTGATGCGTCAGACTCTCAACTGTGTGTCTCTCTGTGATCCTGGAGTTCATGTTTTCCTCCTCATTGTTCCTGACGCTCCACTCAATAATGAAGACAAAGCAGAAATGGAAGAAATCCAGAGGATTTTCAGCTCAAGAATCAACAAACACATCATGATCCTCATAAAGCAGAATTCAGAGCATCAGACAGCAGAACTCAATGAAGAAACACAGTCTGTCATTCAGAGTTTCGGAGGACGACATCATTTCTTTGGTCCCACCACACAAGTGTCCACACTGATGGAGAACATCGAGCAGATGCTGGAAGAAAACAGAGGAGGCTTTTTCTCTACAGAGACACTTCTGGAGGCACAGATGAAAAAACTGCTGCAATTTGAAGAGATGAAGAAGAAACTTAATTCATTAGAGGCACATTTACTGTCACAAGGTAATGAGCAGAAAATCAGTGTGAGTTTTAAACTATGGAGATAGTATTTTTTTGTTGTTTTAATCCTATGTATTTTATACATTTGTATTTTTAAACAGCAGAACTGTGACATTCAACATTCTTAAGCTAAAAAAAAATAAAAATTCTAAATTCAAACATTCAGATTATACAGAAACAAGGTCAAAGAATGTTCAGATCATTAGAACATTCAAAATTCTATTTTTTTCCCCAATCACATAACTACTATAATTCTCTGGATCTTAAGCTGAAAGTTTTACTGTAATTTTCTAACCTTTTTAATAATCTTTTTATGATCTAAACCTAAACATTTTTTTT